TAAAATTTCTTCTCCAGGTTGCGGAGGTACGCTTACGTCAGCGGAAGGAGAAATAGCCTCGCCAAATTACCCGATGCCATTTGGCCACGTGGGAACATGCGTTTACAAAATCCAGATTAGCCATGGATCTAAAATTGCCATCAGGTTTTCTGATTTGGACATCGACGCAAATTCTGGAAACCGATACTGCGCATTCAACTTCGTTCAGGTTTATACATAAAAAAATATTTGAAAGCCGTTTCTTTGGTTATATGTTTTAAAGTGTAAATTTTTCGCTGCAGTTGCTGAAAGGTCCAAATATTCGGTCTCCTGTTGCTGGAAAATTCTGCGGCTCTTCGACTCCTGCTCCAATAGTGATTGATACGAATGCTTTGACTGTGATTTATCGGTCTCGGATTGCTGGTGAAGGAAGAGGCTTCAAGATGTCTTACGAGACTGGTGAGTTTATTTGAGATGTCACAAAATTCGATTTACACTGGAAACGTCGACAACTTTTTTAAAGGATCAAGTCACTCAGTGTTTTTCCGGAATTCGTGATTAATAATATTTGTTGACGAAAATAATCAATTCAAGCGTGAAACAAATTTTCTCATTAGTTTCGAGTAGCACAAACCAGATCGCGATTTAGAAGTCACGCAGTGTTTCACTGAAATTCGTGATAAAAATATTGTTCTTCGAAAATTTGCCATTCAAGCAACAACAAAAATGTCCTCATTCGTTTGTAAAGACGCAAACCAAAACGCAATTAACCGTTCGTTTCATTTTCTCCGGCAAATGACTCAGCGTGAAGTTGAAATGCTGCAATATTTGCGAGTGACATCTACCTGCACTAAAATAGACTCTATTATCATGACTGTGAAGAACAATTTATCAAGATTGGACATACCGTAAATCGTTGCGAATTAACTTATTGGACACCGTATTGTTGCATTTTTTGTTTGAAAAGGGTCTTGAGTTTGATAGATATTCTTTCTTTTTTCATTTTGAAGTTTGTGACAACGTTTGGCTCGAACGAGGACTCGGAGGAGTGATTGAAAGTCCGAATTTCCCACGACCGTATCCACACAATCGTAACTGTTCTTGGATTATCAGGGCTCCGAGGGGCAACAATCTTATTCTCAGCTTCTCGCATTTATCGATTGAAGATCCTCACGCACTCGGCCACTGCCAATATGATTATGCTAGTGTGAGTTTTTGTGACGGACACACAAAAAAATGCTGCATTTTTATTTTTTAAACATATTTTCTGATCTCTTCTGAAGTTCACGGAACTGAAGGTAGAAAACGGTCGAAATGTTTCCAGAGAAGTTGGACGTTGGTGTGGCGTGAATATTCCTGTTCCTACAGCGTATCGATTCACTAGCGATACAGTTATGGTGAACTTCACCTCTGATTACAGTCTTGCCTACAATGGGTTCAGACTCGAATGGCATTCCCCAGGTGACGAACCCTTTTTCCTATAATTATCAATGCCGACGCGTAAAACGTGTTCAATTCCTGAAGTGTATGCGTGTGAATCGGGAAGCCGAAATGAAAATGCCCTTACATTTCTTCGATACATTTTTGAATCGGCTCGGGTTGAATAGCCATCAGAAAAGTCATCTTGGGAATGTATAGAAGAAAATTCGCGAGAAAATTTCGAAAATTTCTCGGATTTCTCCGAAAACTCACGATCTACCATTCGAAAGAGATACTTTTTTCCATTTTTCTGCCTTTTCAATCTTCACCCAAGTTTTAAAATCCCTAACCTCCTGATCAAAATAGACCGAAAAACTTAAAATGCTCTAAAACTCTCCTTCAAAATACGGAGAAGAACCACTATGCCTCTACATTTTTTCAAGTTGGTGTTGACCAAGTTGTTGGGAATAAATCCCGACAAAGTAAAGATTAGAATTTAGGATTGAAAGTTTGTAAAGTGAAGTTTAAATAAAACACAAGAATTCGGTCGGGCTACGACTGGGGTGCAAAACACCCTATTTTAAAGTTGGTA